AGGGGAAAACATGGAGGCATAAGACAACATGGTGTGATTGAGCACTTACAAATTGTATTTTGGAATGTAGGATGCAGGAGCTCCCTGAGGGCAGGGTATGTCTCTGTAGTCTTTGTATATCTAAATGCTGGCAGAGTGCTTGACATACATTAACCCCTTGCGATCGAGTCGCTTCCGACTCATAACGGCCCTATAGGACAGATTAGAACTGCCCCATAGGGTTTCCAAGGAGCGGCTAGTGGATTCAAACTGCCGATCTTTGGGTTAGCAGCCAAGCTCTTAACCACTGCACCACCAGGGCTCCTTGAGGGAGGGAGATGAGCAGGCAGGTGTTGCAAGTAGTGCTTTGTACACCCTATAAGCAACTCCAGAAGTTATGCTTATGAGTTAGACAGTATGCTGTGAGAGGAAAGAACTATCTCAAGGATTTTAAATAGATCAGATTTACAGTTTGTAAAGATTACAGAGGTGCTGTGAAGGTTAGATTGGGAAATGGAATAGACTTGAGGCAAGTATACTGGTTAGGAGGCTATTGCTTTAGTATTGTTGAGAGACAAGATCTGAACCAAAGGAATGAATTTAGAGGCATGGATTTATTGACGTATTGACATTTGATATAGTAGCTTGTTAGTAGCATCCCTAAAAACTTTCTCCTAAAAAAAGATGGATTGATGGATGGCCAATTTCTTCAAATTTAAGCTTGCATGCAAGCTGGTTTACTTTCTGAGTGACTAAACTGAATAGGAAATCCTGTATAGAGTTGTCCTGTGTCTGGATTATAGTAAACATCTAATGGGATAACAAAAAGGTTTGGAGAAGTATTGAGAAAATCACTTTCTTACCCATTTTACCTTTCCTTGGATCTTTTCTTTTCTCAGCTGCCTGATGTTGAGATGAAAAATTGATGAACTAGACATAACTTCTTGGGGGAAAAGAACCTGATTTAGTATTTAATTACTTGGAAAATGAAGAAGGACAGAAAAGGCAGAAGAAAAAGCAGCCAGGAAGTTTCTGTTAGGAAACAGAGGAGTTTGAGAGGCAGACCCTAGTGTAAGCACTTTGTGGGGGGATAATTGCACTGATTCTTTTTAGAAAGGGTATGAACTATGGTTATTTAATTTATTTTACATTACACATACATGTAATGTACGTTATCTCCCTTAATGGACAGGAACAATACATTTTCATAGTAGAAATTTTGGAAAATTAATTGAATGGGAAAATGCAAATTGAGGAAAATTGTGTTAATTAGTAAGTCAAAGTTTTTATAGAAATACAATTGGGTTGCCTGAAATTCAGTTCAGTTACATTTACAATACAATAAAAATGTCATGTACCTCAGAATTTAATTTGTAAAAGAATTACTGAAAAATACTTTCCAAACAGAAAAGTGTAACTAATGATACAAGCAATAACTCAACCCACAGAGGCATATAAAAGTAATAACGTTCTCCTGCTTAGATGAATGCAGTGCCTCTGCGGTTCATTTTAATTGTTATTTAAAATGTAGACTGAAAGAACATGTGGGGGACAGAAATGTTACTTTCTATAGGTGCTTTTACTTCAGTTACTTTAGATTTCTTTGTCTAAGCACCAGAGTATTCAACAACGTGAGAAGAAATGGTTCTTGAAGGATTTCTGCAGGTTTTCATGATTTTTTTTTAAACTCAAGTGCTATCTGTTAAAAAAATTTTATTTCTTTGCCTAAAACAAATTCACCATTCAAAAGTGATTTCTATATATGGTTTGTTGGGTCACGTTTTGTTTTGGAGGGCTGTTTATATATTTTGCCTATCACTTTCTCAGAATATGTGTTGAAAATTTGATTAGGTTAATTTTAATAATGTATGATAAAATCTAGGAATTCAGGAAGACAAGTTAAATATTGTGTCTTTCATATTTGAGATTATGAATGAGGTTAACTATATTCTGCTTTTAAATTTTCCTTGTTATTCCCTTTTGAGGTTTTTTAAAAACTGCTTTATTTGGGTATAATTGACATATAACAAACTAAACATATATAAAGTATACAGTAATAAGTTTTGAAATGTGTATATACCCATGACATCAACTCAAAAGTTTCCTAGTTCCCTCTTATAATCCTCCTTCCTCCCTCTCCCCACCCAACCTCCTCCCTCAAGACAACCATGCGTTTTCTTTCATTTTAGATTAGTTTGCATTTTCTAGAGTTTTATATAAATGGGATCATATATTATGTACTCTCTGTTTTTGGTCTAGCTTCTTTCTCTCAGCATAATTATTTTGAGATTTTTCTATATGGTTGCATATGTCAAGAGTTCATTCCTTTTAATTGATGAGTAGTGTTCCATTGATGGATATACCACAGTTTATCTGTTCATTTGTTGATGGGCATTTGGGTTGTTTTTAGCTTTTGGCTGTTACAAACAAAACTTCTCTGAACATTCTATATGAGTGTTTGGGCATATGCCTTCTTTTCTCTTGGGTAAATAGCTAGGATAGGAATGGCTAGATGATATGGTAGGTATTTGGTTACATTTTAAAAAATTGCCGGACTGTTTCTCTAAGTGGTTATTCTGTTTTACATTCTCATTGGCAGTGCATGGGAGGTCCACTTCCTCCACATCTTTGCCAGAATTTGCAATGGTCAGTCTTTTTTTAATTTTCTTTCTTTCTTTTCTTTCTTTTAAATTGTACTTTAGATGAAGGTTTACAGAACAAACTAGCTTCTCATGAAATAGTACATATATTGTTTTATGATGTTGGTTAACAACTCCATGACATGTCAGTACTCTCCCTTCTCGACCTTGCGTTCCCTATTACCAGCTTTCCTGTCCCCTCCTGCCTTCTAGTCCTTGCCCCTGAGCTGGTGTGCCCCTTTAGTCTTGTTTTGTCCTATGGGTGTCTAGTCTGGCTAAAAGGTGAACCTCCAGAGTGACTTCATTACTGAGCTAAAAGGGTGTCTGGGGGCCATACTCTCAGGGTTTCTCCAGTCTCTGTCAGGCCAGTAAGTCTGGTCTTTTTTTGAGTTAGAATTTTGTTCTGCATTTTTCTCCATCTCTGCCTGGGACCCTCTTATTGTGCTCCCTGTCAGAGCAGTCAGTGGTGGTAGCTGGGCACCATCTAGTTGTACTGGACTCAGTCTGGTGGAGCTGTGATAGTGTGGTCTGTTAGTCCTTTGGACTAATCTTTCCCTTGTGTCTTTAGTTTTCTTCATTTTCCCTTTCTTCTGAAGGGTTGAGACCAATGGAGTATCTTAGATGGCCGCCAATGGTCAGTTTTTTTAATTTTAGCTATTCTAATGGGTGTGTACTGGTATTCCATTATGGTTTTTTTGTTGACTATCTTTTCATGTGCTCATTTGGCATTAGGATATCTTTGTAAAGTGCTTAGAACGTGAAGTGATGTTACCTCTTTCATTCCTTTATTGGTCATTTTTATATTCTCTTTTTTTCCTGATCAGTCAGGCTAGAGGTTTAGTAATTTTTATTAATTATCTGAAAGAACCAGCTTTTGGTTTTACTGAATTTCATTATTGTCATTTTGTTTTCTTTTTTATTTATTTTTGTTTTTGGTTGCACTCTGACTTTTATTATTTCTTGTATTCTGCTTACTTTGAGTTTAATTTGTTCTTTTTCTAGTTTATGGTTTCTTAAGGTATAAGCTGAGGTAATTGATTTATAATCTTTCTTCTTTTCTCATATAGGTATTTCGTGCTATTAATTTCCCCCTAAGTAATACTTTAGCAGCTTTCCACAAATTCTGATATGTCACGGTTATATTTTTATTTCACAATACTTTCTAATTTTTATGTCTTTCTTGATCCATGGGTTATTTACAAGTATGCTATTTAGTTTTAAAATCTGAGGATTTTCCTGTGATCTCTGTTATTGATTCCTGATATAATTTTATTGTGATCGAATAACATAGTTTTATGACTTAAATCCTTTTAAATTTCTTGAGACTTGTTTTATGACATGGAATATGATCTATCTTGGTAAATGTTTTACATGTACTTGAAAAGAATGTGTAGTCTACTGTTACTGGGTTCAGTGTTCTATGAATGTCACTTAAGTGATATTGATTGATACTGTTGTTCAAGTCTTCCATGTCCTTGCTGATTTTCTATTTAATTATTCTACTAAGTATTGAGAGAGGGGTTTTGAAATCTCCAGCTATAATTGTGATTTTTCTGTTTCTCTTTATACTTCTGTCAGTTTTTGCTTCATGTATTTTGTATTAGATATATAAATGTTTAGGATTCTTATGTTGTCTTGATGGGTTGACATTTTTTTCATGTGAAATGACCTTCTTTGTACCTAGTCAGGGCAGCCTTGAATCTCTTTTACGGCAATACGGTGGGGCAAATTTGTATGAACCAGGAATCTTACCTTGACTGGTAATTTCTCTTTCTTCTGTGAGGTTTTCGTAGTAGAGATTTGGTACAGGATCTCAGCCTTAAATTATGTTGTCTGACTTAATTATGGACTGACTTTGCAACAAGATAGTTGCTTTGATTCTCTGAATGCAGTTAAATGTGTCATTTCTTGATTGCAGTTTTCTAGATTATCGATAATTTATCACACTGAATGAGAAGAGTTTCCCCAGAGGTCTGGAATTATGGCCTGATTCTAGTTATGTTTTGTTTGTTTGTTTTTGTTGTTTCCTTTTTAGAATGAGTATAAAATCCGTTGCCGTCAAATTGATTCTGACTCATACTGTAGGAATATTAAATAACAAAAAAATGTTAACTTTTTAATTGATTTATTGCATGTTACTGGGGCTTTGATCAGGCAGCTTGTTACTTATCATAGGCCACAATGACATTGTGACAAAGAAACTTAGACTAGACTATTGATTTGTGGTGGAACCTTGAATTTAATTTTTATGTGTTAGAATTATGATTTCCTAGAGGTGCTGAATCCTTTGTTGAGGTTAATTAAAATAACATTTGAGTCTTGATGTTGTTACTTACACTGTACCTATATTTCATATGCTCTTAATCCACCCTCTTTAAACAGAAGTAGTCCAAAGGATGAGTCCATCCACATCCTGAGTGTTGATGAGAAGAACAAGTTGGGAGCAAAGATTATCAAGGCAGAGATGATGGGAAATATGGTAAGACTCTTGTATGTTGCTCTTTTGGAGAATAGTAATTAATATTTAACATCTTAAGAGTAATTTTGGAAGTTCCTCAGCAGTGCAATTATAGCAAACTTTGAATAACTGCTGCTTTTTGATTCCTTAAAGAAATTATTAAATATTTCTAGAAACAGTATTGTCTGTCCACACCTAAATAAATTACCTACTTTTTGTCGGATTTCTGAAATTAAGATCCTAGGGAACTACTTGATTTTTTGTTTCTTGTTTTACTTTACTATTTACTTTATTCTTGCACTTCTAACTTATTGAGCATATTTGAGGGAGGAGGTAAACATTCCACTGTCTTCTTTCCCTTTTCAGTCATGTATTATTAAGATCACTTGTTACTTTCTTCAATTCCTTTATTAAGGGACCTAGGAAAAGAGCTCCCTAAAAGGATGGTTACTTTATTGATACAAGTTTTAAACCCACATTATGTGCCTAAAATTGTGTTAGATGCCTTGTATAGGTTAGCTCATTTAATCCTATAACAGTGTTGTGATTTAAGGCTTGTTTTACCTCAGAATTGAACAGAAATAGACATGATTTGGTAAGAGCTGCTGTATTTACTCATTTATTTAATAAGTAAGTCAGTTTAAGCAAGTAAGTATATTGAGGGCCAGTCACATGCCTGGTATGGAGTTGGCTCAGCAATACATGTTAAAGTGCACGTGGCAGAATAGCAAAGGCAGATACATAGCTTTCTGTGTCTTGACAAAATAGATTCACTCATTGTCTTACGTATGTGGTCACCTCAAACCCAAATATAAGTGGTTTTTAAGTAGTCTTCTGTTTTGGTGGAGTATCAACACATTATTTTTTAGTAGAATAAAAGATGACCAAATAAGATATTTCTGTTTTTACTAGTTAATGTGTTTAATAAAAGGCATATCTTGTATACATTTCTCTCTTTGAATCTGGCTCTTGATAACACTGAGCTTCAATTCAACCCAGAAGCTGGTAAAAGAGAAACCTACAGCAACAGTAACAACAGCAAGAAAATAAAGTTTGAGTTTCGAAAGCACAGAGGAGTTAGCTAAAATAGTGAAAGAGAGGTCACCTGGGTAGGAGGTTAGCTTATGTTAAAATAACTTGTTCCTGTGTTCAGGGAACCACTGCAATGAAGAATATTTTTCTTTGCTTGTCGCATAAATCTGTTTACTTAATGTTTTATTTTGTGGTCTATTATTGTATCTGTCTTTTTTTTTTTTCTTTTTTTATAAATTCCTGTAGGCTTCCTGGAGCAAAAATAAAATATAGCCACAGTTTTTATTTGAATTACTTGTTGACAATAAAGAAATCAATATTTTAAGTCTTGTGATGGCTGTCTTGTTACAGATAATCCAAGTTTTAAGTATTGGAAGTGTATAATATGTAAGAAATTATAAACCTGCCATCCTTAAGATAATATATATTTCCTCCATCTCCCTATATCCCCAAAAATATGTCCTTGTAATTATTTACATTTCAAAATGTAAGCAAATGCCACAGTTATTTGAGAAATTTTTAACTGAGATAAATTGATTAAAAAGTAGTGTACTAGGCTGTGAGTTGACAGTGGAAGCTAGGTAATGGCTACATGGGTGTTCATAATTCTGTTTTGTAAAATTTGAAATATTCTATAATGAAGAATTAAAAAAATACATATACACATGCTTATTTTACTTGTTTTTATGTTTGAAGGAATTAGCTGAACAACTTAAAGCCCAGCTTGAAAAGGCAAATAAACTCGAAGAAACTGCAACACAGATACCATCAAAAAAATCTGGGGTGGAGGTAAGGAATAAAAGTTTGGAGGCATGTAATTACCTTGTATAATACTACAGTTTTTTAGTAATATTTAATGGTAATATTTTAATGTGAGATTGTCTGTGTCTGTCTGTGTATATGTTTGTTTGGAAAATTTATTTTCATTCATATTCTCTTACATTCCACCAGTGTGCCATGGTAGAAAAAGAGCCTAGGCCTGCCACCAAGAAGACCTGGTTTTGGTTTGGACTCTGCCCCTTACTGACTGACTGACTTTGTGCAAGTCAGTTAACCTCTCTGGTCTGTAAATTCTTCCCCTATAGAATGAAAGACTGGAATTAGATATCCATTTCATCTAAAATAAATGATTTTATTCCATGGTTTATCCATCCATCCATTAGTGAACAGAACAGACAAAAACACATACCTGAATGGAGCTTTCATTTGGGCGGGGAGAGAGAGACGATGAACCAAGTAAATAAGTAATACAGCAAATTGCTGTTGTTGTTAGGTGCCATGGAGTCAATTTTCAACTCATAGCGACCTCGTGCTGCAGAGTAGAACTGTCCCATAGGGTTTCTAGGATGTAATCTTTAGGAAGCAGATCACCAAATCTTTCTCCCACAGAGCTGGTAGGTGGGTTCGAACTACCAACCTCACAGCGACCCTGTAGGACAGAGTAGAACTTCCCCACAGGGTTTCCAAGGCTGTAAATCTTTACGTAAGCAGACTGCCACATCTTTCTCCCACAGAGTGGCTGGTGAGTTCAGACTGCTGACTTTGGTTAGCAGCCTAGAGCTTAAGCACTGCACCACCAGGGCTCCTGTACAGCATATTAAAATCCGTTCCTGTTGAGTCAATTCAGACTCATAGCAACCCTATATGACAGGGTAGAACCGCCCCGAAGGGTTTCTAAGGAGCAGCTGTTGGATTCGAACTGCTGGCCTTTTGGTTAGCAGCCTGAGCTCTTTACCACTTCACCAACAGGGCTAGGAGGTTATAAACCCTATGACAAAAGAATAGAGTAATGGGGATCTTAATTCCTCCTTGGTTGGTTGCTTTACATTTTAAATGTGGTACAGAGGCCAACCCTCATTGAGAAAGTGACATTGATGCAAGAACTTTAAAGGAGTGAAGGAGTAAATCTCTGTGTATCTGAAAGAAGAACACTCAAGGCATAGTGAACAGTGAATTTAAAGGCCCAAAGATGGTAGCATTTCTGATGTACAAGAGCAACAGTGAAGAGAGCAGTGTTGCTGGAGTGGAGTGAGAGAAAGAGAAGAAGAAGTGGGACATCTGGGTCAGAGAGACTGTGGGAGGCCAGACCATGTTAAGCTTTGAAGGTCATAGTAAGGAACTGGGCTTTTACTCTGAGCGAGATGAGAAGCTGTTAAACTGTTTTGAGCAGATACTATTTTGACAGGACCATCCTGGCTTATGTGTAGTAATTAGGCTTTTGCAGTAATACAGATGATGGTGGCTTTGATCAAGTTAAACCAATTCCGACTCATAGTGAGCCTATATAGTAGCCTTTATATAAATATTTTCTCTATATGTTTTGAAAGGAGAGCTGACAGGATTTTTAGGATGGTTTAGAGGTACAGTATGAGATAAAGAGAGGAGGCAAAGAGAACCCCTAGTTTTTCAGTCTGAACAGCTGAAAGAATAGAGTGACTATTCTTTGAGATATGAAAGTAAGAGGAAGAGCGGGTTTAAGGGTGAAGATTAGAAGTCTGTTTTTGAATATATTGAGTTTCAATGCCTTTTGGATGTGGAGCAAGTAGAGATATCAAGTAGGTAGTTGGCTATAGTTCGAAGTTGGGAAAAGTCTGGACTGGAGATATAAATTTGGGAGTTATTAGTATAAAGGTGATATATATACCAATGGAGTAAATGTAGATAGGAAGAAGTTGTTGAAGGCCTGAATCTGATGCATTAGTGTTTAGAGGTTAGATAAATTAACTCATTGACTTCTTACAACAACCTTTGAGGTAGTTCATGTCATTATGACAGTTTCATAGGTCATGAAACTGAGGTACAGAGAGTTGTACAACTAATAAGTGGCAGAGTAAGGATTTAAACTCACAAAAGTACTTTTGTTTACCTGACATCTTTTCCTTGACTCTGAATGACAAAGTTAGCAACAGTTTTGAAGAGTGATTAGTATATAATAAAGGACTGTTCTTAAAGATAATTTAATGTCAGTATGAGAAGAGCTCGGAGTGTATGAAATGAAGTTCCATAGAATTTTCTTCAGGCTACTGTTATTAATGACTTAGATAATAGTGTAGAGAGTATGTTTGTGAAAGTAGCTGCTTTCACTAAGTTGTAGCTAATGTTTTACAAAAGTGAATAATTCAGGATTTCTTACAAAGATTAAGGAATTGAGAAACTATAACATCTCATTAGATTTCATTTCTTACAACCAAGTGCTTCATTCACCCAAAGTTAATGTGTATTTTGAAGTAGCCTATACAGTTGCTTATACAGACAAGCAAAAGGATCCACAAAGAAAAACCTTGAAGTCATGTGCTCTGGAAATGTCAGTTGAGCTAGTTTGTGGCTTAGAACAGAAGGAAAAATTGAAGCAGATACCCTGTTAAACGATATTTCTTCTAATGTTTTAAAAATGCCACGGAGTAATTGACAGGCTTTGTCTCTTCTTTTGAGCACACAATTCTCTAATATTACTGATGTCTTTTTTTATTTTTATTTTTATTGTACTTTAGATGAAGGTTTACAGAACACATAGTTTCTCATTAAACCGTCAGTACACATATTATTTTATGACATTGGTTAACAACCCCACGACATGTTAACACTCTCCTTTCTTGACCTTGGAGGGCCTTTTTTTTTTTTGTTTCTTTGTTTTTTTGGTGAAAATATACATAGCCAAAGATACACTATTTCAAGAATTTCTACATGTACAATTCAGTGATATCGATTACGTTCTTCCAGTTGTGCTGCTATTCTCACTATCCTTTTCCAAATTATTTCATCACATTATCTTCAACTCACTGCCCCCTAGGCTTCCTATCAAACCTTTTGAGTTGCTGTTGTCAATTTGATCTCACATAGATAATTCTTTTTTTTTTTTTTTTTTTTTGGTACTTTAGATGTAGGTTTACAGAACAAATAGTGTCTCTTTAAACAGTTAGTACACATATTGTTTTATGACAATGGTTAACAACCTAACAACATGTCAGCACTGTCATTCTCAACCTTGAGTTCTCTTTCACCAGGTTTCCTGTCCCCTCCTGCCTTCTAGTCCTTGTCCCTGGACTTCTGTGCCTCATTAGTCCCATTTTGTTTCATGGGGCTGTCCAGTCCCTGGCTGAATGGTAAACCTTGGGAGTGACTTCACCACTGAGCTAAAAGGGTATCTGGGGGCCATACTCTCGGGGTTTCTCCAGTCTGTCAGGCCAGTAAATCTGGTCTTTTTTTATGAGTTAGAATTTTGTTCTACATCCTTCTCCAGCTCTTCCCAGGACCCTCTGTTGTGATCCTGTCAGAGCATACAGTGGTGGTAGCCAGGCACCATCTAGCTGTACTGTCTGGTGGAGGCCTTGGTAGTTGTGGTCCATTAGGCTGATGTCCTTATAAGAACTGGCTTATCTTAGCTTTCAAACAATTGGGGTAAGCAGTGCAATCAAAGTAGAATTTGCTTGTGAGATTCTTTTGGAACTGTATAACCCTTTGAAACTTCAGTTAGAAAGCTTTTTATTCCAAGGATTCTTTGACCAGAAAGAAAAATTTTGGTCCTTGGTATAGAGATGGAACACTTTGACATCTGATTCCATTTTTACCAGGCATACATAGAAAACAAACCTCTGTCAACATTTCTGAAAGAATTCTCTTCTGCCGTTGAAGTCATTTATTACATCAGAGTCAGGTCCTTGACTTATCTTGTCCTTCAAAGTTTTTTTGTCAGGAAATGGAGTAGAATAAAAAGCTGTTTACTACTACATAGAAATATGCTGACTTACTAGAGGAAAATCCTGAAACACTTCTGGTAGAAATTTTGCTCTTTTAGAGAAAAGAAAACCTTATTTATAGAACATTCGGACAGGGAGTAGTTCTTTCATTGCTTTGACTTATTTGTTGAAAATTTTAGGTCATATGCACAAGGTAAATCTCTTGATTCAAAGACCTATGAATATTATTTTGGCTTTCGTGAAAAACCATCAGCACTTGTAATTATTGGTTTACTTATGACTATGTAATATTTAGGGCAAGGACTGTTTCTTTCATTTCTATATCTAGTGCCCAGAGTAATACTTGGCACATTATAGAATACCAAGAAATACTTGAAACAAAATGTTTGTCGTATGAATGTCTTTGATTTATTTGCTTCCCTATAGTTTTTTTTAATTGTAAATCTTAAAAATGATCTGTGAACTTTGAAATCAACTAGTCCGCCTTCCCATGAGTGTAGCTGCCTTATTTAAACAGTAATCCAGTACATAGCATCTCCATCTAACTTGCGTTTGAACACTGAATGATGAGGTTCATTGAGTTTTGGAGGATTGCCAGTTCCATTTCAGGACAAATCTAATTCTTAATTAAATCCTAATCTGCCCTTTGTTATTTCTACCTGTTGATAGTATTTTGTTAACACGTTTGGCTGCTAACCCTAAAAGTTGGCAGTTCACATCCACCCAGAGGTACCTCGGAAAAAAGGCCTGGCAATCTACTTCTGAAAAATCAGCCATGAAAACCCTGTGGAGCCCGATTCTACTCTGATACACATGGGTTCGCCATGTGTCGGGGTCTACTTGCGGACAACTGGTTAGTAATACTTCAGTGAAATCACATCATGGGCACATTGTATCTAACAGAATTCAGCTCTACACTCTTTTTAATCATGTAGGAAATTCAGCTCACCATTTGCAGTAATTTTCAGTCATTGCATATTGATGCAGTGGCTTTAAAGTTAAGTTTGCACTGCTGACAAGAGGAATGCATTATTATGGTCCCCAGGTGGCTGTGTGAAGTGGGTTTCATAGATACTCTCTGTGTCAGGGGCC